TACCTAACCTCAGAAAGATCTCTGTTTTCCAGCCTCTGCTTTCTGCTGTTCTTGGAATTACCAGAATTATCTCTTTTCCAATATGTTTTGTATGCCCGGGATCTCAAAACACAAGTGGCCAAGAAGAAGGATTTGAATAATATTCCTACAGAAACATACCACGCCAGTCCTTGCAGCCAGCACCTGATACTTAGGGCTTTATAATCTTGAGAAATAATGCCACTTTTTGAACATTTCTCATGATACACTAAGTCACTCTAATCGATGGATGTAAATCTGGATGCTGCCAACCTATAGCACTTAGCAATAGCACTTAGATTTATATATCACTTTATAGTGATATGAAGTGATATATAACACCCGACCTCCGGGTGTTTCGTTGCGCATTGAAGACCCTGTTGTTCCGCCAGGCCGGGCTATCAACATAATAATTTTAATTGGGGCATTTTAAATTTTTGGGGTTTTAATCCGGCCAAATTTATTTAATTATTTTAATTTTTAATCATTGTTATGTCTTGTGTTTTTAAATTGGCTGTACACCACCCTGAGTCCTTCGGGAGAAGGGCAGTATGGAAATAAAATTATTATTATTATTATTATTATTATTATTATTATTATTATTATTATTATTATTATTATTATTGTGCTTTACAGCCCTCTCTAAGCAGTTTACAGAGTCAGCATATTGCCCCCGACATCTGAGTCCTCATTTTACCCACCTCGGAAGGATGGAAGGCTGAGTCAACCTTGAGCTGGTCAGAATTGAACTCCCGGCAGCAAGCAGTGAGTTAGCCTGCAATACTGCATTCTAACCACTGTGCCACCACAGTTCATCCATATCCTGTGAGGTTAGTTGATCATAGCTGGTAGTTTTCCTATTGTACTGATTGTATTGTATTGTATTGTATTGTATTGTATTGTATTGTATTGTATTGTATTGTATTGTATTGTATTGTATTGTATTCAGTGGTGGGATTCAGCTGGTTCAGGCTGGTTTGGGTGAACTGGTAGTTAAATTTCTGGCTGGCCCCATCCCTTCCTGCCCCGCCCTTTCCAGGAGTCCCCACCACCCCATTTTGGCTCCCAGGTAAGTGCAGGGTGGCCTACTTGGCCCAAAATGTAGTGTGAGGGGCAATGCGCTCCCCGCAGCCCATTTTCACTCCCAGGAGGCTTCAGGGAGGCCTTCTAGGCCCAAAATGGGGCATGGAAGGGGTGTGGCGTTCACCCCCATGGCCCACTTTTACTTCCACGGGGGTGCAGAAGGCTGAGTGCTGCCTGTCACACCCCCTGGCCATGCACACCATGGCCACGCCCACCCAGTCAGTCATTAGGGTAGAGAACCGGTTGTTAAATTATTTGAATCCCCCCATTGATTGTATTGTATTGTATTATATTGCTATTGATTCAACTCAGAGTGGCTATTTCCAATTAATATAAATTGAGTTTTGAAAATCTGCTCAGTTTTAGTTTATATTAACTGGAAATGGCTCTAATCCACATTCAGATTATATCCTTAAATCTGGGAAAGCCACTGATTTTGTGGATAAGGAGCCACGCCGGACTATAAGAGGCAAAGGCTCTCTTTTTCTAATAAGATGACATAGTGTGTTGTGCAATTATTTCCTAATCTGTATCACAGGGTAGGCTTTTGGTAGACATCACAATGAAGTCATACCAATAGCACAAACTACGTAATTTGCATCAGCTGCATCACAACACCAAATGCCATATGGCACATAATTTGCATTATGTCATGATGAGTGTGATTTCATTTTCTTCTCTTGTGTTCTTGCTACACCAAGGGTGTCAAACTCGCATCATCACGTGACATATCGTGACTTTTTTCCCCCTTCGCTAAACCGGATGTGGGCATGGCCAGCAGGTGACGCATCTAGCCTGCAGGCCGTGAGTTTGATAGCCCTGTGCTACACTTATATTGTAGAGCTGTTAATAAAGCAGTTGGTCACTAAGCACTCCCTACTTATAAGCAGCAGTCCCTCAAAATATTGTCTTTCCATTATGTGAAGACCCACCTCTGAACAAAGATAGAGGTATTGGGCAAAAGTCAGACCATGCATGCTAAGAGCTTCAGAGAGGTTTGGCTAACAAATCAGCTAAGCACCTTATCAGTATATGGTCTGGGCCCTATGATCAGTATGACCACATACTGATGTGTACCAGCTAATGTGCTTTCAGCCAGAGGTCCATGGCCCTCCCTTTCCACTCCACTCAGGAAGTTTACACAGGCCACAGCTGTAAACTCTGTGTAGAATCTTTTGGAATAAGCAAATTGTCAAGTTGAGCCCAACAAATGCATGCCTATAAATCAGTCCCTGGCATCTCCCCCCGCCCCTCTCTCTCTCTCTCACACACACACACAAAACCCCGATGTTTGGGTGTCACCTGTGACCCCCTGGCAGATGGTGAAGGGAGGCCAACCCCTTTGCTCTGAAACAGTTGCAGCTGAGCCATCTGTCAAACTGCTCATGGCCCAGCTCTCTGCAGCTCCAGCTTGAAGCTCAGCATCCGCTGGGCTACTATTCAAGCTGCTGAAACTTTCCTGCATATGTTTGGTCTATCTATCCACGCTGGAGGCTGCTTTTTGCTGCTGCTCCTCTCTTACACTGGGAGAGGAGCTGGGAAGTGCGGTGGGGAATACTGTAGAGTACCAATAGAGTTGGGACTAATGCTTCTAACACCATTTTCTTGAGCACAGGTTCTCCTCAGGGCTGTGTCCTGAGTCCGCTGTTGTCCACCCATGACTATTGGTCCAAGTTTGCCACCAACCATATTGTGAAGTATGTGAATGATACAACAAGAGTGGGTCTTATTCAGGATGACAATGAGAGTGCTTACCCTAAGGATGTAGAGGGCTTGGTGAACTGGTGTAATAAAAACTGCCTCCTTATAAATGCAGGAAAAACTAAAGAGATCATTGTCAATTTCAGAAGAGCAAGCCACACACCTCTGTGTATTAATGATTCACCTGTGGAGGTGGTTAGCAGCATCAAGTTTCTGGGTGTGCAGCTAACGAGTAGGCTAACTTTGTTACTCAACAGCGAGACACAGTAATGCTTCATTGCCTCATGTCCACAGATTTACAGTTTTCCCAAATGTAGTTCAACTTGGCAAATAATTTTCAAGAAATTCTAGTGCAGAGGGTTTTTTAAATATCTATTATTATTGTATTATAAGGGTACATTAGACTGGATTTGACATTTTTTGTCCACCTATCAAGTCCTTCTGAAGAACTTGGGTTAGGCAAATGTTGTTGTTTGATGGTATTAAAGGTATCATCACAGGATTCATTATTATTATTATTAAGCAACTTTATTGCAAAATTCAGATAGGTATGAAATTCCAAAGGTAACCCTATTTTGGTTGTGTATTGATCTAAAAAATCTGAAATTAAACAAGTTAAAATTAAAAGTTTGTTATAAGTGAATTTCTTCTAAATAATTATTTTCAGCTGCTTGATAATGGCTTAAATTCTCAGAACCCAATGTACTGGCAAACTTTAGTTTGACAATTTCGACTTAGAAGTTGTTACTTATTCTATCGGCTCACTTGGAATGACAAGCAGCTTTAGAAGTAGAGACTCTTGAATCTTTGACTTTTGAACTGAAATAGATGAGTTACATATTTATCTTTCCTGAGATTAGACCTGGAATGCCATAGAATCAGTCAAACAGGACACAGTTTTCACCACATGAAATGTGAATTTATTAGACATTTTATCGAGTTTCAATTGAATACTACAGTTAAACTCTGCCAGATTCAGAAAGAAAATCTGAAGAACCTGTAGAGCTGCAAGATATGCACATCTCCTGGAAATATATATATATATATAATATCACATATATATATAAATAATATCACTACTGGGGATAATGTAAACATCATAATTGCTGTTTTAAAAATAACAGTTACTCAAACAAAGATTTATTAACCAAATCATACAGATGCATTATATTATTAATATATAATATTTTGTATCTTACTACATATATATTTTTGCCATCAGCCTTTTACAACTTCACAACAGCCCTGTGAGGTAGGTAGGAGACCATTTTCTCCATATGACCAATCAAAGGCCTGAGAAATGGTGATTTTAGTCAAAGACTAGTCACTTGGTCCATGGCTCAGCAACATTTTGAACACAAGCTTTTAGTGCAGTTTCTTAGTTTTCTCAGTTTTAATGCTGCTTAGAGGCTGGCCAGTATAAGGGAAGGAATTCAAAGAACCCTGGATGATTAAATTTGTGCCAGTTTCTTTGACATGGCAGGTACATGCGAACTGGTTTTGGTTTTTTAAACAATATACCAAAAAAAAAGAAAGAAAGAAATCAGAAAGCAACTCAGTGGATCAGAAATAGGAGATTAAGTACCATTCTTAAAGATTTGATTTTGATATGTCATATAGTTATATTAAATACTGATTTAGATTCTCTTCCCCTTCTTGTCCCCATTTCTAATGAGTACCTACTCTTGCTAAATAGTGTGAATGAATGAAATGTGTGTGTGGTGTGTGTGTGTGTGTGTGTGTGTGTGCATGCACATACACACACACACACACACGTTCAATTTATTGCAAAGTTTCTTCCTTCTTTTTTGCCTAAATCGAAAGGCAGGTTTATTTCAAGAAAAAAGACAATAGCTGGTAATTTTAGAAATGTTCAGAACCTGCCTGCTCTCCGTTGTTCATTTTTTAAAAATCAAACATGATTTCACTTTCCATTCTGTTTTTACTTTAGACGAAATGTATGTCATCTCCAGAAAAAAAGTTACTTGGCATCTATGCCTTCCAGCTGAACTTGTAGTCTGCCAAAGACTTGTAGATTTGTAATCTCTTTTCACTATGACCGATTCCAAGTACAAGTACATTAAAAGATCAAAGAACACATACAATATACAGCAGTTGTGAAATGAAGAGAAATTAACATTGGATGTTCTGTGGATTGTTTCTGGGTCTTTCAGGAGGGTTTTTTTTTTTTAATCTTCCAACCTCATTGGGAAGTCACATAAGCTGTGGCAATATACTTTTTGCCATTGCCATAAGTGGATTTATCCCAAGTATACGTTTGGATATCCAGATTATGGCCTCCAATTTTCAGAGGACACCTGAAGGGAAAAAAAGCTGGTATAAAATCATCTTTCTTAAATAAAAGCTCTAGACAATTATTTAGAATAGGCTACAATTGAGTCAAATTACTAGCTGAACAATTTCACCTTTTCTCCGTAGCACCACCTTTATGAATGTTGTCTGCTTCAACCCCTTGGAAACCTCTTCATGAAAGGTTCAGAAGATCTCCCATGAGTAGGATTGTTTATGGAACAACCTTAATAAACTGCTTGAATGAACCCACTGATGTGATTCATGTCTTGGGGCTGTTAAATTCTGCAAGGTTTTATTATGTGCTACTCCTAAATCGTGAAAATCATTTGCCTGAACATTACTGGAAAAATTCAGAATTTTTACTCTACCTTGAATCAAGATCTTGAGATGTTTTAATGACCATTACTTTGCTCAGGCTTTAATTTGAAGGCTACGTTTATTGCCATCTATTAACTAAGATAGCTAAATGAAACCTTTGTCTTCAAAAGTGACAGACCTTTTCAAATCAGATGTTAAGGAGTGCACAGTCAATGTAAGAATATTGCTATTTCATTCCCTGCTTGTCAGCTCTGCTTCTGAAAACAATTGACTGGATCGAAGCTTTCATTTCACTTGGAAAGAATGATCCAATTTCATTCAGAACGTGCATACTTTCACTTTTGGTAAATAGGAAGTAGCACATTAAAAACATGTATTGGCTTCCAGACTATCTTTTATTGGCACTGCATCTTCTCATTTTTAACTGCCATGAAAAATAACTCTTGGCCCTAACAATATACTTACACTTTTCCAGGCCGAGCAATGAAACACAGGGAATAAAGTCCAAATTCAAATTCAGGACTGCTTCCAATAAAAGCACTTCCAACCTGTTTATAAAATCCATCAAAGTCGAATTGCATTCCCAACACATCTGGATATGAGGTCCACTAAAGAGAGGGGAGAAAAAATGATGCTGGAATTTTTTCAAGAACTTTGATCTACAGAGTTTGCAACAATAAAATATTTCCAGGAAGAATTTTGCATTGTGAAGCCATACAAAGCACAAATTCTTAAACCCAGTTCGATGAGATATGACTATTTGTGAAGACTAGTGAACATAAGAGGGATACCATGTTCTATCAGCAAAGTGAGGCAAAGAAAATTCTTTTGTGAGAAGGGAAGAAAAGATTTGTCATACAGCAAGTAAGGTTCAGTGTTTGCTCCACATAACCTCCCACATAAAGCTGATCAGTGGGGCCACCAATGTCATTTTGTATGCCCTTGAGTGAAGATCAGTACATTCCTTCTATTGGATATGATTGTCCTCATTCAATGGGCATGCAACTTCTGGTTGCACATGGAACAGTGAGGGAGGAAGGGGACATTGGCCTAACCAGCCAGGTCGGTCAAATCAACTCTGGTAATCAATGGGGTGACAAATGTCACAGCAGTGATTAAAATAAGTCAAACAATGGCCTATGCCTAAACCAGCCAAAGAAAATTTCAAGAGACAAAAGTTCCTAAACTCTTCTTAATCCTCTAACTCTCAGTCCACCCCTGCTTGGCTCAGAATCCAACATAGTCAGAGTTCCAACATAGTTAATGGATATTAACATGTGACCATGGCCAGCCCTACCATTAGGCAGAGATAACAACATGAACACAGAACAAACTAGATATTTAAACACATTTCAAGTGTATGTGAGTGTGTATAAGCTGACTTTGTATAAAATAGAACACCACTTTGGGGGTGGGGGGGGCAAAAAAGCCATACTAAGCAGGTATATACAAAAGTCTGAAGGCTATTGCTTAAAGTATTGTAAGCCGCCCTGAGTGTCCAGAGAAGGGCGGCATATAAATCGAACTAATAAAATAATAATAATAAAATAAATAAGGACACACGGTCATATATATGGGAGCAGATATATTTGTAGGTTTATCTGCCTATCAAAATAACATAGCCAAGCATTACACTTGGACTTAGTGAGGTGGGATGGAATTTATGATTTTATCTCAACCTCAGAAAAATGTTTTGGGCTAGAATCCCACAAGTGACTGACATCCTAATAACCCAAGCTCCTTGCGATACTCTAGAAATCATCCCATACCAAGATGTCATCTGGTCTTGTCTCACCAACTGGCAATGCTAGGTGGCAGGCTAACACAGTGTTTGCCAAACAGAAGGCTCCAGTGGAAGCTCCTGATTGGTCTTGCTGCTCCATATCTGAGCCAATAGCAGGGGAGAAAAGATCAGATGGACTATAGCAGTAGCGTGAAAGTCCTGCTCGATGAAGAAAGATGAACAGTGACATAGGCAGTGGAAAGCAGGACCTGAATAGGCTGGTGCAGTGGGAGAAGGGAGGGAGGGAGGGAGGGAGGGAGGGGTGCTGTATTTCCCTTAGAGAAAAATCAAACCATTGCTTCTTTGAAAAAGAGAAATTGCTGCTGTGTCCCAGACATTTCTAGAACAAGAGGGTGTATTAGTGTGTCATATAGGAGTAGAAGAGGAAATGAATGAAGGCTCCAGCGTTTTTCTCATTAGTCTTAAAGAGCCCATTCTACATTGCTAAGAGGAGAGGGAGTCCACGACGAAGCATCTAAGATGGACATAACTCATAGCATTCTCTGGTAGCTTGAATCCAACCAAAGACTATTTTTGTGACATTGTATGTACCCAGAATGTGTTATCAGTCACAACTGGATAATTACGTACAAGTTGTTTCCTTTTCTTTCTCCTTCTTCTTCTCTCTCTTTTGAACCACCGTTGTTAATAACATATTTTCTGAGTCCGTTTTAGGCGGGGGAGGGGGGGCATGCATTCCTCTTGTCCAAAACCACACATCTCCCTGCTAACCATGCTGAGATACACATCCATATATCTGCAACATTGGGCTACAGTCTGAGAAACCTTGCACCCAAAAAATAGGAGTTTACTGTTAAGATGCTATAAGAATCTTTCATGCTTTTATTGCAATAGGGTTTTTAAAGGACTTTCTTGTAGTAGTGCTGTCATAATTATGATACTGTTTTTTCATTAGAAACAAATCCGGGAGATCCTGCCTCTGTCTTCATAAAATATTTTTAAAAGAAGAAACATGCAAGATACCTTGTTAATGACATGCCCTTCTCTAGATAGATGATAGATGATAGATGATAGATGATAGATGATGATAGATGATAGATGATAGATACATAGATACATAGATAATTAGATAGATAGATAGACTGACAGACAGACAGACAGATAAATAGACAGACAGATAATTAGATAGATAGATAGATAGATAGATAGATAGATAGATAGATAGATAGATGGATGGATGGATGGATGGATGGATGGATGGATGGATGGACGGACGGACGGACGGACGGACGGACAGACAGACAGACAGAATGATCATTAGATAGATAGATCAACAGACAGACAGACAGACAGACTGACTGACTGATAATTAGATAGATAGATAGATAGATAGATAGATAGATAGATAGATAGATAGACAGACAGACAGATAAATAGATAGATAAATAGACAGACAGTCAGACAGACAGACAGACAGACAGAAAGATAGATAGATAGATAATAGATAGAATGGATATATATAATGATAATTCTACCAACCACACCGGGTGGGAAGGATAGATAGATAGAGATAGACAGACAGACAGAGACAGAGATGCATGTATTTTTCTCTACCCATATACCGATATGCTCTATTAAATTTAGCAACAGCCTGGCATTACAACAATATAACTAGTGCCATAACTTCTGTTATTATTTTTTCCTCCACTTCCCTTATCCTGAGGAATGGCAGGCCTCCATAATATTTGTGTGGCTGTTTATCCCCTAAACAAGGAGAAATTGGCTTTATTGACAGGGTTCTATCCAGTCAATAGCAAAGGATGTTGGAAATTATAGCTCAGTATTTCACAGAGAGACCAAACAGATGCACGGTATGCCTATTTCATAGGCTATGTGCTATGGCATCCTGGGGAAAGTGCCAGTGAATTAACAGCTGAACTGGAATCTCTTCTCTTCTCATAAAGTGTGTTAATTTTTCACCAGCAGTGGAAGATTATTCATTTTCCACAGTGAAACGTACCAGACCATCATAGCTGTGGCTATGATAGTTAACGATGCCCTGTTTCTCCAGAAGGTAGAAGCGAATCCAGTTGTGGAATCCGGATACTTTTTTTTTCTTGATTTCTCCTAAAAAGGACCATAAACAAATGAACAGATTAATTTATATTCATAACAAAAATTTTAAGTCATGCAATATAATTCCTTGCAAAGAAACTTTATACAGTACAGTTAAGAAAGAGCCTATTTCCTCCAGCCTATTCATAAGAAAAGCCTAAGAAAATCATTCAGGCTTGTCACTCTTCAAAGTGCTTTCTGAAACGGAGGAGAAGTTTACCAAGTTCACTGTATTATGATGGAGGGATAAATAGGAAGAATGATCGTAGCAAAAAGGAAGACATGGGTAAAGCTTAATGGAAAGGCAAAATTAAATTGAATCGCTAAAGGATAGTGAGGGCCTCCTCAGGGTACCGTCGGCCAGACAATGTCGGCTGGTGACCCCCAGGGGGAGAGCCTTCTCTGTGGTGGCACCTACCCTCTGGAACAATCTACCCCCAGAGATACGAGTGATCTCAGACCTCTGGACTTTTCGTCGGGCCCTTAAAACCTATTTTTTTCAGTTAGCCGGGCTGTCCTGATTTTATGGTGGGTTTTTAAAATTTGATATTGGTTTTAATTGAAATGTTTTAAATTATGGGCCAAACTTTATTTAATTATTTTAAATCTATTTTAACTTTTGTGTACAAATGTTTTACTTTGGCTGTTCATCACCCTGAGTCCGAAAGGAGAAGGGCGGTATAGAAATCTGAAAAATAAATAAATAAATAAATATGATGGTTGGAAATTCAGAGAGATGGAGCCCAAGAAACCTAATGAACTTCTTCTGCAAGTTGAACTACATAGACCATTCTCCCCTGTTTGGTGAGCCTCAATAACATTGAGTTCATGTACAACTGTATTTTGAAGCAGCATGAGGGGTTCCCAAATAGGGAATATCTTTAAAAGTTAATCCAAATCAGTTTATATCAGCAAGCCCTTTACATCCTGTCAAGGTCATCAGTTCGCTTTTAGCAGAACTGTCTTTAGCTTGCCATAAACTTCCATCTTTTAAGGGAGTAAAATGTGCTAAAACAACATCAGACAGACAAATTGTGGTTGTACTGGTAGTCCTTGAGTTACAACAGCAATTGGGACTGGGAACCCCATCACTAAGTGATGCAGTTGTAAAGTGCAATATCATGAGATCATGTTGCTTAATGACAGCAGTCCAAGGAATCCCAATTTATGGTGGTTGTGAGCTACCCAGAGTTGCTTACAATAGGCTGCCATATAAATCTAATAAATAAAGGAAGGGAAGGAAGGAAGGAAGGAAGGAAGGAAGGAAGGAAGGAAGGAAGGAAGAAAGAAAGAAAGAAAGAAAGAAAGAAAGAAAGAAAGAAAGAAAGAAAGAAAGAAAGAAAGAAAGAAAGAAAGAAAGACTTCATAGGATCCTGACTTGCAACTTCCTGCTGACTTCCCCATTGACTTTGCTTGTGGGAAGCTGGCAGGGATCACTCTGATTGCAATCACGTGACTATGGGGATGCTGCAACAGCCAGAACTTCAAGAATTCATTGTGAGTCTCCCTCATTCTGCACTGTCATATCTTTGAGTAGTTGCTGAATGAAAGCTCATAACCCAAGGATTACCTGTAATTAAATGTATGAAAGAACCTCAGCTTGTTTGAACTAAACCTACCTAGAAAGACATGTTCAAAGCCGCTGGAGTCATCATCCTCATCCTTGCCTCTGGAATAAAGGCCAAACCACATCTTTTTAAGATCGTCAACAAACTCTGCTTCTGTGTCATAACGATCTAGGATGGAGATACAGATGGATGACCAACAATCATTGATTTCTCATTACCCAAAGAGCCCACAAAGAACACTCACATCGTCCCAACAATGCTTTGTGGACCAGAGATATTTTGAAAGAAATCCAAAGTAGGCATGTTTGATTGAGATGGGAAGAAGATTAGGAGAAAAATGTGCTCTTTGAAATTGTTGTCCACAACTTTCACATTAATTTTGAAAATGTCAAATTTGTTTGCTTTAGGAATCATAGGTTATGAGAGTGCTGTGAATCACCTCATATGTTACTTTCCTCAGTCACAGAACTATTTCCAGAAATGTCCGAGAGAATGGAAGCTTGATTTATTCATCCATACACTTCAGCAAAAACAGATACAACTTCCATGTGATCCAATGTTAGACCACAAAGGAAGGAGTTTGACAGCAAAACCAATTTTTTGGTGAAACCGAGAGCTCCACATGCTAAGCATAAGGTAAAGGTAAAGGTTCCCCTCACACATATGTGCTAGTCATTCCTGACTCTAGGGAGCGGTGCTCATCTCCGTTTCAAAGCTGAAGAGCCAGCGCTGTCCGAAGATGTCTCCATGGTCATGTGGCCGGCATGACTAAGCACCAAAGGCTCACGGAACGCTGTTACCTTCCCACCAAAGGCGGTCCCTATTTTTCTACTTGCATTTTTACATGGTTTTGAACTGCTAGGTTAGCAGAAGCTGGGACAAGTAACGGGAGCTCACCCCATTACGTGGCATTAGGGATTCGAACCGCTGAACTGCTGACCTTTCAAACGACAAGCTCAGCATCTTAGCCATTGAGCCATAGCGTCCCTATGCTAAGCATTATTATGTACAAAATTTCCAACAACCCTGGTCAAACTGTAGGTTTTAGTGAATTCCCCAAGAGAATAGAAAGCAAATTTCTAGAAAGATATTTAGTTTTATACCATGTGCAGACTATGTCAGCTTCTGTTCACTTTGGAATGAAATTTGATTAGGGCTGCCTATTGTTTCTTCATGCAACCTTACATTCTACAAAGGTCCACCTGGGATAAATAAGTTGGGATTTTTGCACTGAGCAGAACATTGAGGTTGACCCCTTCTATGGTTCTGTGATTCTGTATAAAATAATGTTCATCATATCTCAATTACCAAAGACTTACTTTTGCTGTAAAGAAACTTATAAAGCTCTTTCATGACCTCAGTGTTCATGACCTCCTGGAGGAAATTGTCCTGTTCCTTCATCTGTTCTTTGCTGAATTTCTCCTCTGTCCCAACGTGTGCATTATAATTATCCAATAGCTTGATGAAACTGGCATACGTTGGTCTTGAGAAGAGTTTCTCATGGTTGACATAGCTGAAGAGCCTGCCCAATGAAAAACCATTTGAAGTGAGGCTGGCCTACAGTTCCCCACAGGATCAGGATTCATCCCACACTCCATAACAGATTGGAAGAGTTATTTCATTCATAACCAATGGCATAGAACCTCTTGGTTGTGCCTTTGTGGGACTGCCAACTTTCCAATTGTAGTATACATAGCTGAGATGGCTTTCATACCATAGAACTGTGGTTCTGAGAGCCATCTCCTGCCTTCCCTATTTCTGTCAAGCATTGATGGACATATGTCCTTTCAGGATCCATTCCAAGTGGGTTGTAACTAGTCAATATTTTGCCTTAGATAAAAGGCAAAGACAATTGGTTCTTCCTAATCACCTCAGCCTTATCAGATGTCGATTTTCTAAAGCAGCAGTCCCTGGGTTTGAACCTGGCTTTTTTTTTTCTACATGAAAAAGCAACATTTTGTCATCAAAATTGGGCTCCTGCTATAGTTCCTTATGCTCCTGCAATGCAGTACTATGGTTGATTGAACGTAAATATCTAATAAGTATAGCAGTCCTATTTATTGATATTTATTGATTGATAAATATTTCTGGCTCCAAATTTAGAAACAAGAATGCTAAATAGTTATTTTTTCCCTATTTTTCCATCTCTGGAATTTTGGTTATCTGGAATTTAGGTTATCTGTCCACCATTCCAAATGCCTACCTTCACTTTGTAGTTTACATTAAGTTAAACTCACGGATCTGGGGATTTATCTTCCTGCCCATTTGTTTTGGAAGTGAAGTATTGCTTGTTCAGGACAATGTCAGACTCCTCTGCTCTGTTGTGGTCACTCTGATAAATCTTCTCTGATGCTTCTTGTAGTTCTTCATCGGTTATAGTATTGTCTGTGTATGAGAATCCTTCTGTTGGAAAAATAATTATTTTAGCTTATGGTCATTTGAATCAGTCACTGGGCAAAGCTGCTTATGCCATCCACACAGGGTGATTCAAAGATAGCAGATAAAAGAATTTTAAGTACAATTTGAAAAGTATACAAGTGTGCCTGTTGGGAAAACATAGCTGAAATGATTTCTGATCTGTATCTGTCATATGCATTTAACATCGATCTTTGACCATGTTTTATTTTAAAGTGTAAAGATGTTTTAATTTCAGAAGATACATTTCTAAATATAGTTGTATATCAAAACACAGCATATATTATCTGTGTTTTGTTTTTAAATTAAAAAAAACAGTATCATAAGATTTATATTCTGATTAGCACCTCATTGTAAGAGATGAAGATACTGAGAGTGCAAAGTTGCAAATATTGAATAATACCCATGTATGCACAAAGCAGCACAGTAGGTATTGGCAAATTTAGTAACAGTATATATGTATATAGGAAAAAATATTTGAGTAACAATGGTTCAGTTATCCACCCACAATCATATTACTCAACAGAAAGATTAAGTTACTCAACAGAACAACCTAGAATGTGGATGATTAATTTTTAATGCACACAATGTGTCTTGTGTGCAAGACCGAATTCTACCAAGGATTCTGTCTTTTTCCCAAGGAGTCTACTTCTACTTTATCTTTACAGCTATTTAGTGAGATATTTTAGGCTGAACCTCAATAACGAAAGAGACAACTGGCATGTTGTCCTCTGGGTTTTATGGCTGTGTGGGATTGACATCTGGCTCTTCCTAGTTCTGTTTTTATACTAGAACCTCTAGATCATAAAACAGGAAGGATCCAGCCTGACTGCCCCAATGCTCCATGTTCTGATCACCATGGAGACCTCCAGGTATTGTTACAGCCACCTGGCAACACCTGAGAACATATTCAAATCCAAGTGGAGTTGACTATGCCACTTTTTTTTTTTAATTTTGATTTATATGCCGCCCTTCTCCGGAGACTCAGGGCGGCTTACAATGCGCTAAGCAATAGCCTTCATTCTTTTGTATATTTATACAAAGTCAGCTTATTGCCCCCACAATATGAATTTCCTCCTATTTCACAGCAAGGTCTACCTAGAGCAGTGGTTCTTAAACTGTGGATATTTGTACCTATCCTGAGGGTAATGAAAGAGTTGGTAATTGTTTGTGAGTCAAGGTTCAAGTTTAGGATTGCTGCTTTTGAGACACTTGTATAAAACAACAGCCTGTTTTAATTTGGGGTTGGTTTTTGGAAAAGGTTGTATTAATGACATTACCGTGTTTCCCCAAAAATAAGACCCTCTTATATTTTTTGAACCCCAAAATAAACACTAGGCCTTATTTTCGGGGAGGTCTTATTATTTTGGAGCGCATGGAGCAAGATGGGGCTCCGCTTGCCATCTTACCTGATTTCCAGCTCTGTCTCCCTAACCGTAACCAGACCGGCTGTGCATGCATTTAAATATTTTTAGGGAGGGCTTACTTTTGGGGGAGGGTTTATTTTCAGGAAGGGTTTGTTTTCGGGGGAGGGATTTTTTCGGGGGAGGTCTTATTTTTGGGGAAACACGGTATTTAAAACTGGGAAAAGTTTAAATAGTTTGATAATAGGATCAAACTATTGAAGAATCAGTCATTTAGAACAAGGGTTCCAACCCCTGGTCCATGGACTGGTACCAGACTGTGGCATGCCAGAAACTGGGCTGCACAAATAAGTGAAGGCCCATCTGCAAGATGCAGGCAGCATGCAAAATACGCCCCCACCTTTCTCCATGGAACCGGTTCCTGGTCCTGAAAAGTTGGGGCCACTGATCTAGAAAGACCCCTGGATTTATGGATGATATTTTGGAAAAGATTCACGGTAAAGTAGTACTGTACAGAGTAAGTATCTCTTGGATTCAAGTATACATTGGACTTTAGTTTTCTGTTCACTGTAGTTCCCAGCAGTATCAAAAGATCCAAATGCTTCTGGCTATATATTGTTAGAAGGGAAGCATGTTTTTAAACCTTTTTTTAAATGTAAATTTTCCTGCAAAATCCTTAAAATTAAGAGAACCAAGACCATATAGGCCCATGGATGAATTCAGTTTTGTAACTGCTAATGTTTGATTGCAATGATAGGCAACGTGTTACCTTAAAAGTATTTTGAACACAGTTCCTATAAACTCCAGCCTGCAGACAGAGCCAATTGCAAAGGGTGATCAAATTGTCATCCAAAATATCCCCAAAGGTTGTTGCCACTGGGTGTCAGTGAAGAGGAAGTAAAAGTTTGTTTTAGCTAGAGGGAATAGAACTGGGGAATGTCTGCATCATCAATGAAGTAAACAACTGATGATAAGCTAGCAATTACTATTGATAGAAGCAGCTTCTACTCACTGCTGAAACTGCAATAGTAAAATTAAGCAACTAAGAGCCTAGAGGAGGTAGGGGTGATAATTGGCTAGAAATTCCTTCATATTAGGAGCTCCTATCCAATCAGCTCACTTCTGCCTTCATTAGCTCCTCAAAAGGTTCGCCAATAGCTGTATGGCTTAAGCAGTTTTCAATTTTCATTGCCCATTTCATATAAAGAAGAGAAGGTGCCAATACTTGCCCTTTTCTTGATCATCTGTAGTACCTGTTAAAGAAGGAAGAAATCTGGCGTGAATCTTCTGGTTACAGAGGAGCATAAAACTTGTCATTTATTTCTATAGATATGGCCTTCTTGCCAAAACAGGTGGATGATTGTTAGTGTGGGAAAGACGGCTGCAAGTTCCACTTATCTGTTTTGGATTTTTGCATCTCATCTGGAGGAATATTTCCACACTTTCCAATTTATTGATTCCCAATAGAGAGAGAAGGGCAGGGAGCAGTGTGGGTTGCCCCTGGTTCAGACCGGTTCGCAAGAACCGGTAGTAAAACCAGCGGGAGGCCTTGCCCCCACCCCGGATGTCATCATCAGCGATCTGCGTGCACGCGATCCCATTCTGAACCGGTAGTAAAGGTAAGTACTGTAGAACTCACTCCTGACAGAGCGCTGAACTATTTAGATGCTGCCCTTTTGAACTATATGTTTATTTAAAAAAAAAAAATTAAATGTTACCTTCAGGATTTCCTAGGGAGGCTTACAATAGATTAAAATCAACCAATGAAATCCCAAGCACTTAAAATAGAATATTGTAACATGGTAATTTAAATACCTAGTGCTAAAAGAATAAACCACACAAGTAGCCGCCCACATCCAAAGCATGTAACAACACTATCTGGCAAACTCAGGGTGTTAATTGATTCAAAATCAACATTGCTTTGTCTGGAAATGAAAAGACCATGAATTGCTAGTTGTTCCTCACTGGGGTCACAGTCCCCTTGACACTTCAATGTCCCGCTTTGCTTTGCATCTGCAAAGACAACTTCTCAATGATTTAAGGGTGGACACAACAGGAAGAAAGAAATTTTGCAGGAAGACCAATAATGCTGCTACTGAAAAAATCCCATGGAATTTTTTCAGTGATCGCCTGAGATCTTCCCTTGGGATTTAACTGAAGTGGGAGAAGTGTACAGAGGCCATATGGCTACAACTTCTGAGATTTGGGGAGGGGTGTGTGTGTTCCTGGATTGTGAGGCTTCAGACATGCACTCCAAGTCCATCCTGCAAAATGGAGTCTTAAATTGGCGAAAGATGGGACCCGGTTTAAATAGCTTAGTAAACCTCTTCTTCCATTGGCTTAGGCCCACACCAGTGGTGGGTTGCCCCCGGTTCGGACCAGTTTGTAAGAACCGGTAGTAAAACCAATGGGAGGCCCTGCCCACTGCCCCTGATGTCAAACATCGGCGATCTGCACATGCGCAGAAGCAAGGCACGTGCATGAGCGATCCCATTGCGAACCAGTAGTAAAGGTAAGTAGAATCCACCCCTGGCCCACGCACTTTCTTTGGCTGGACATAAACAACCTGCAGCAAGAAGAAGCAACATATCTAATCTCTATTCCAGATTATGTGTCTCCAATTTGACGATACAGTGTTTTATTTATTTATTTATTTTACTTATTTAGTTTGTCAAACATGTATAAGATAACAGATATAAGTATAAACATGATTATGAATATAGGAAATGGATACGAATAAATGGGGACAGTATTTATTTATTTATTTATTTATTTATTTATTTATTTATTTATTGGTTCAATTTATATGCCGCCCTTCTCCGGAGACTCAGGGCGGCTTACAATGTGTTAAGCAATAGCCTTCATACTTTTGTATATACCTGCTTAGTAGGGCTTTCGCCCACTCCCCCCCCCAAGCGGTGTTCTTTTTTTATACAAAGTCAGCTTATTGCCCCCACAATCCGGGTCCTCATTTTACCTATCTCGGAAGGACGGAAGGCTGAGTCAACCTTGAACCTGGTGACATTCGGACTTGCAGTAATTGCAGGCAGCTGGTGCTACTTAACAGCACTTTAGTCTGCTGTGCCACCAAGACAGCACCAGTAGGACAGGGACGGTAGGACAGATGGTAGGACAGGGACCAGTAGGACAGGGACGGTAGGCACGCTGGTGCGCTTATGCACGCCCCTTAACAGACCTCTTAGGAATGGGGTGAGGGCAACAGTAGACAGTCTAAGGTTAAAGTTTTGGGGATTTGGGGAAATAACCACAGAGTCAGGTAGTGCATTCCAGGCATTGACCACTCTGTTGCTGAAGTCATATTTTCTGCAATCGAGTTTGAAGCGGTTTACCTTAAGTTTGTATATATATTGTATATATATGGGACCTTAACTTTTTGAAACAAGGAATTATTACAGAACATTTTATCTTATCTCTTGTTAAATCTACACAAACTTGGAGAATATGGATATGCATGAAGATAGTCACTTTTTCCATGGTGTGTGTGTGTGTGTGTATTTGTTGTGTGTGTGTTCAACAAAAGTCAGTCTGCTGCTAATCCTGGCTGAATTAAAAAAGATCAGGTAGGTCAGACTCAGTGGTGGGTTCCTCCCGGTTCGGCCCGGTTCAGCTGAGCCGGTAGTGATGACAATATGATGTAACCAAACCGGTTCTCTTTGTTCGGGAGCTGGGTCCTCCCACCCACCCCGCGTTATTCTTACCTTTTATTTGGCCCCACCCCCAATCTATTGCTGCCTCCCAAGTCCCAGCTGATTGGCTAGAAGGAAAAAAACTGTTTTAACTCTTGCCGTGGGGCTTCAAAGGGCCGCCCTACAGCTGATCAGTGTTAAAAGACAGTGTGGTGGTAGACCGGTGCCTCCAAAAACAAATGAGTAGACCGGTGCCTCCAAAAACGAATGAGTAGACTGGTGCCTCCAAAAACAAATGGGTAGACTGGTGCCTCCAAAAACGAATGAGTAGACCGGTACAGCTCTGCAAGCAGTTAAAAGTCTGGTAGACCAGTACCTCTGCTAAATCCTAAAGAATCATCACATGACCATCAAGCCATGCCCACAAAATAAGCCACGCCCACAGAACCAGTAGTAAAAAAATTTAGAACCCACCCCTGGTCAGACTGGTGAGTAGTAAGATGGGAGACAACCAGTATTCCGAGTCTGTGGCTAGATTGAAAAGTTTAATACGTGGGAAAAAGGCAACGTGTAAACTATTTCCATTCTGATCTCAGGACAACTAATACATAGTAGTGATATCCACTTAGTCAAGCTTGATCAGAGAATGGTTTACCTGTTCTGCAGTGGATGTGGTAATCTTTGCAGCAGTTCTGATTTTGTTCACAGTTAACATCACAGTGGCACTCATCTTCCTTGTTATATTTTTCATTACATCGTCCTTTGCAGGAATCCACAGGACCATACAAAGCTGAAAAGCAGAAATATATTGGAAGAGGCAAAAATAATGAGCAGGGCCACGATTAGCAGAAAATGGCAGTGAAAAAGATGATCCTGATGCAGTATTTGAGGGCTAATGGAGTGTCTCCCTCAGCTAGAAGTTGGCTTCAAGAACATTTGGGTTCTGTTCCTTTGAATATTGTGAAAGAAAGGGAGTCTCTCTAAATGTATAGCGATTACTACAACCCAATGATGTGTGGGTGGCGTATAGAGAACACTTGATTTGAATTGGCTTCCACATTGGTTTTAGGTACCAGCTCAAAATAATGGTGATGATCTTTAAAACACTGAAGCTTAGAATATATTAAAGGTTACTTATTCCTATAAACCAGGGGTGAAATGCTCCCGGTTCGGACCAGATCACCTGATCCGGTAGCGATGGCGGCGGGTGGTTCAGAGAACCGGTAGCAAAAATCCCTGTGCCCCCCGCCCCACCATGCCCAGCTGAGACGCAGGATCATCAGAGGCTTTTTCTTTTTACTTTTAAAAGCATTTTTTCTACAACCTCTTCCGACGAAAAAAAATGCTTTTAAAAGTAAAAAAAAAAGCCTCTAATGACTGCGCGGCTCAGCTGGGAGTGTCAGAGGCTTTTCAAAGCATTTTTTTCTGCAATCTCTTGGCCGAAGAGGTGGTAAAAAAAATGCTTTGAAAAGTCTCTGACGATCCCAGCTGAGTTGCCTGATCGGCAGAGGCTTTTCAAAGCATTAGAAAAAATGCTTTGAAAAGTTTTTTTTTAAAAAAGTTAGCCATGCCCACCCAGTCACATTACCCACCACCACCACCACCAAGCCACACCCACAGAACCGGTAGTAACAAATTTTACATTTCACCCCTGCTATAAATCTATCCATTCACTGAGATTAGCTTCAGAAGCCTTCCTGAAGCCTTCCTGCATCTGAAGCTTTAAGTCCCCCTTCCAAGGGAGACTTGTCTCATTACCTTGTTAAGAATCGTTGGAAGATGGTTCAGATACTTTATTCCACCAGGAATAGATATTTCTCATCTTTAATCCAGAGCCTATTTTTGTTATCTGAATTCACTTGTTTGGATATAATCCCTTAGAGCAACAGAAGATACATCTCCCTTGTCTGCATGATGACCCTTCAAATATTTGAAAAGTATTTATTGTATTGTTTCTTGATCATTTGAAATACACCCATTTAAAATAACATTTCTCTCTTATTCTTCTCTTCCTCTTCTTTGCCTCTCTCTCCCTCCTTCCCTCCCCCCTCTCTCTCCTTTTTGTTGTATTCTTTTTATTTTAAACAATATAGAGAAAGAGATGGTTTACACAGCTGACAATGTATCAAATGCACTTCCTCAAAACACAAAGCTTTTAGTTTAAAAAAAAAAGTTAATCACATTCTTCTGGAACTAAGTCAACTTCACCTTCTATTGCTGGTGGCTTACTTCCAAACTAACTATGCCAGGGAAACCAAACATAGAACTCTCAATTTGGATTGGCCAAAAAAGAGATCCCAGACAAGAATATATATAGAGAGAGAGCAACACAGAGTTGCAGTTTGTCAGCAGAAAAAAGGCCCAGAAACTTGTGAATGAGATTTCACAGAACCTAGGGCTGTAGAACAACTAAGTTTACGTAGGTAAAACCTGGCTAGAAAGAATATGCATATATATATATATATGATTCTGCCGAAACGTCGCTTCTACCCTTTTAGGGATGTATCCACAATTACACGGGAAGAAACCCGAAATATTAACTATACATATATATATACCCAGCCGATCAGCTGGGACTCGGAAGTTAGAGAATAGATGGGGTCGGGGCCAGCCAGAGATGGTATTTACCGGTTCTCCAAACTACTCAAAATTTCGGCTACCCGTTCACCGAAACCGGTCAGAACCAGCTGAATACCACCTCTGCTTTCTACATTTTTCCATGGAGAAGTGCTATGAAAGATTCAAAGTGGGGCAAGTTTTTTAAAACTTGCTTGTTTTTTCTCCTTGCTTTCCTTTCCTTGTCTCCCTAAGTGTGTTACACATGCCACAATTCTACTGCATATATATCATCTTCATATGTCACAAAATAAATCTCATATGGAATCATCTTTTTTCTTACATTTTTGAAATAGCATCAGAACCTACCCAGGGACATCTGTATCAAGATTCAGAAACACTCTGAACAAATGGGGGCTATCCAGTGGCTTTTGCTCTTTGCGATTGTGGTGACATGTGGACCACAATACATATGTATCCCTTTGTGTCCCAATCAGTGTACACCTGAGGGCCTCATGGCCACTTGACAGGATGCAGTTAATGTTGCTCGTTTCTGGGCAAGATTTGTTTAACTTTTACATATTTTAATCTTGTATTTTATATTTTATATTGTATAGTATGCCTTATTTTAATTGTGATGCTTCTGACACGAATCAACCAATCTGTATCCATGTCCATCTTTTTTCAGTATAACATCCAGTTACAAAGTACTCTTACAAATCTTAGATCTTCATAAATACTTTTTACTTGGATGTTTTAATTTAAAAAAAATAGTATTCAAATGATTTTTTTTAAAAAAAATTTCCTCTAAAGCAGAAGAAAATATTTATTTTGTAGCTGTTACACATTTGTCTTCTGTTATAATGAGACATGATCATACTGTTTGGTATTTATTTACTCCCATGTGTTTTGCACCTACAGATCCTACGAGTCCGTGCTTCCAATATCTACGACCTTAAACACTCAAAGAGCCATTTGGACTCGTTTCCCACAGAAAATGAAAACACCAGGAGCCATGCCTGACTATTTCTTGAGCGGCCACAAAACTAGCCTATGTAGTTGAATTAAACATTCTGTTTTCCTTCTGAAACTTTTCTTTTCTTGGATTTATCCATGGTTGGCCTACCAGGAGTTGCAAAGCTCAATAAATCACGTGCCGGCAGGTGTCGTACATTGCCGGTTGTGACGCATACAAGGATGACAAGGAGCCGCAGCAGAAGGGTGAAAGAGCCACATGCAGCTCCAGAGCCGCAGGTTGCTGACCCCTGGTCTATGGGATCAAAGTTCTTAAACATTATGGCCCTATGCCTTTCTCTGCCCAAGGAATTAAAAGAATTTAATCCATAGAGGGATACCCACACACAAATACAGAGACCTTTCTGACTCTCAAACCATAAAACTATTTCACCACGAAAGCACCTTTTTTTTCATTATAGTACAGAAATGCCAGACTATTGACTCACTCTTCACTGTGTTGTTTGTTCTGATTTACCACTGCTTTTACCCGATTTCAAGAAATCACCCATGAGCTTCACAGCAGACAAAGAAAACTAAATGTACATAAATATCTTCAAATTTGTTGAAAAGTAAGTCTGTTTTATTTTGCTATTCTTTACAGCACAGCTTGGGCCAGGCCTTGGTGGGCATTGTTTTATTTACAATAATATTATATATAATATAATATTATAATATTATTTATTATTTGTATATATAATATTATGATTTATTTGTAAAGAGAATACTCTTATCTTGGTCTCTGCCTAATGGAATTCTGCACTTCTTGTTACCTTTAATTTCATAAAGAAGGCAGGGAGGATTTTCCTTGCAATCCCACAGCCTACCTTCCAGCATGTCCTCACTTGTTCTGTAAACCGTATTATTTTCTCCAGGACAACCAGTTATAAATGTAAAATAATATTATCTCGAATAAGGCAATGGATGACATGGAATTATATTTGGCATAACATGTTTGTGAAAAAGGAGAGAATTTTCCTGCTGTCAATGGAATTCCATGATCAGAACATGATTCATTTTGAAGAGCAACAGAAGACATATAGGTAGTTCTTGACTTATGACCACAATTGAGCCCAAAATTTCTGTTGCTAAGTGAGACATTTGTTGAGTGAATTTTACCCTATTTTATGACCTTTCTTGCCACAGTTGTTAAGTGAATCACTGCTGAGTTAGTAACATGGTTGTTAAGTGAATCTGGCTTCCCGATTGACTTTGCTTGTCAGAATGTCACAAAAGGAGATCACATGACCCTGGGACACTGCCACCATCATAAATATGAGTCAATTCGTGAGCTGAACCTCTGATCCTGAAGTGCAAGTATTTTACTTATTTTATAAAAGTTACTGAAGCTATTTAAGAAGGGAAAGGAAAAAAGATTTTTAAAATGGCGACTGCCGCGGCTTGAAGAGAGGCTGAAAGGGAAAGTCCTTCCGTTTTCTATTACAAAGTAGCGGAATGAATACTTCTGGTTGCAATTGAAGGCAAAACCTCACTCTCGTGTTTTTTTGTTTTTTGCTTTTTTCTTCTTCTCCTGGAGATCTGATATTGATCTTGGTTGGGGAAAAAAAGTTTTTTTTTTCTCTTTTCCAGTAAATCTTGTCTGGGTGGAAATATGGCACTGAGACTTATAAAGTTAGACAAACAGGCAGTGGGGGGGGGGATTCCCCCATTAACAAATTACATGAACAAGTTCTAACTCTCCAGTCTCAGAAACCTGATTTTAATATAATAGAATTTTTCCTAGAGGAGATTGTAAGAAGGGATGAGATTGTGAATCAGCAACTTGAAAAATTTAAGCAGGAAATTAAAGAAATTGGTGAATTGGTGAAATCTAAGTTTGACTTTTTGGATCGAAAGATTTTAAAAACGGCTAACGGTTTAGCAGACTTTATGATTCAGTTGGATGCAAATACTAAATTATTAGAGTCTAAAATGAAAGAAACTGAGGATAATTTGGATGATAAGATCCAAAAAATTAAAAAGGATTTGACAAACATTCAGGATAATAGTTTAGAAGACAAACCTAAAATGGAGGCTGATCAAAAGACTGGTAATGAAGAAAATGTACAACAGAGGATTGAAAGAGAAGTTTTAATGATCCAACATAATTTTACAGAATATGCAATTAGACTGAGAGGTCTGCAGGAAAATAACAGAGATGATTTAAGGAAAATATCTTCTGAGATTCTGGCTGGGATTTTAAAGGTTCAACCTGATGAA